ACGGTGAATCGAGACCGAGCGCGAGCCTCACGGTTGCTGCAGCCAGTTTCTTTCTAGGCGATTCTAATCAAGCAGTCGACGAGGAAACGAAACAGTAGATTACATATTTTAACAAATTACATTTTGTAGATTACATTTACTTTACACGGAAATTTATTGTATCATACGATCCGCGAATACGATAAAGCAACTATTTTTATTAAGTATCTAATATTAAATAGCAATTATAATATTAATTTTTTATTGAAATCATAAATAATAAAGCAATAATATAATTAAAAATAAATAGTAACTTGATTTAAAAATAAATTATATTTTAAAAATCAAATTCAAGTTTCATGCTTGGAATGAAATACTTTACTTTGTTTATTTTTATTAATACAGTACGGAAAACATATAATTATTGTACGTGGAATAGATTTAAATCATTTTGTTTAATGTCAATGATGTTAATCAAAAGTTAATGTTTAAATTAACAAGTAATAAAACACTTCAGATTGACAACATTTATTAACAAATATTAAAAAATTAATATGTATTTTATATTAATAAAAACTTAACAACCATATAACATATAACAAATTATGTAAAAAAACATGTAACATTATTTATAGAAAGAATTGCCAGGTTAAAAAATCCTAACAACGATAAATTCTATAACATAACATATAAAAAAAATACAAATATACGTTATAGAATTTAACATTTCTTTCTGATTTTAGTCAGAAATAAATATAAATATCAAGAGAATATCTACATACAATTGTATTGTTAACAAATTTAAATAAAAAAGTTCTCAAGATATCACAAAAAATTTGCATTAATATAATCGTTAAACTGGCAGAAATCGAGAGGATTTTTCCGTACAATGGATTTCTTGATGAAACACGATAATAAGATAATATGTAATATCCGTGAATTCTATTTCCATCCTTTACCCTTGGAAGACGAATAATGGACCACGTGTTTGTAGATCGGAATATGAACAGGATATGGTTTCGCCACTGGCACAGGGAATTTCTTCTCCACGTAAACGGGATATGGCTTTTCCACAACATAAGGAACCTGTGAAAAAATATAGTGAATATAATATACGTGCTCTCTGTGATATCAATCAATTTGGAACTTTCTAATAATTGTGAAGAATAAAATAAACATATTAAAATAAAGAGAGAGAGAGAGAGAGAGAGAGAGAGAGAGAGAGAGAGAGAGAGAGAGAGAGAGAGAGAGAGGGTGGGAATAGGAAATGTTTATTAGATTAAAATTATTTTAATATCTCTTTTACTCCAATTTCGTTTACTCCAATTACTGATTATAAATTAGAAAATATAATAAATAAAATATAGTTTAAAAATATCAGAAATTGAGAATTATACTTACATGCTTTTCGACAACAATTGGCTCTGGTTTTTCAATGGGTATCTCGACGTGTTTAATGACTTCCACTGGGTATGGGTGAGGGATTTCGATTGGTACCTTATATGGTTGAGGCACTGGTATTTTAATTTCTTTAGGCACTTCAATAGGCACAGGATGCGGAATAGGTATAGCTGAAACAAAGCAATTATGCAATTGCATTTACAATATTATGCATATTTTCTTCACAAATTTTTTAACAACTTCTATCCTCTGCCTTAAGAATAATCAATTGCATTATAATAATCCAATAAAATTAAAGAATTTAAATTAATATTATTGAAGAATAAACTTACCAAATTTCTTAATAATTGGAATTTCCACAGTTTTTGTTTTCTCTTCATATGTTGAACCACCATGATCCTCCTCCAAATGGCTAGCCAATACCATATTGCCAAACAAAGCGATATATAGGAAAATCTGCAATTTTACATAATTATATTTTGCTTTATAATATTTGTAATTTTTAATATTAACACAATGATAATTTATAAACACACAAGACACTAATTATTACTATTATAAGACTTTCAATAAAAATTTAGAAAAAGTATTACAAATCTTGTTATTTTAGTAATTATTTTATTTTTAAGAATAATTGTAATCATCATACTATGTATTGCTATAATAAGCACAATATATAAGTAGAGTTCTCTTTTCTTATATATAATAAACTGCCACTTCTTTTATTGTATCAATTAGCACTGTTTAACACATTAATCACACAATTATTGCACGATATGCAAGTGAATGAATCTTACAATTATATTCATGTTGATTGCTTTTATGGGACTAGTAATGCGAACACGAGAAATCAAGCATTGAATGACTATGTCCTCCAAAGACCGACTTTATATACGACTTCTATTCCACCACCTTTCACTAAAATCCTGATAGAGTTTCAATTGCCCAGGATATATCACGTTGCATTTTGCATCGTGCAAGAATATTTATCGAAAGGACTCTATCCTATTAACAAGATAAATATAAAAA